AGACGTGCCCCCTTCGCCATCCTAGAAACCTGCTAGGAGCCACTCCTTGTCCAGGCCCTCTGGCCCCGGCGACCACTCTCCGCTCTCGTCGGACCGGGTCGTTACAGGTCCACCAGCTTCCGCATGATTCGTCCCCGAACCATACACCTACTAGAGGGGTCCTGCTCTGATATCATATTGTGACACCCTGGATTTAACTCACTTGAAGTATTGTCCGCTTTGGCCCGTCCCATATCGAGCCTCACGGTTTTGTCCATTGACGTACAGGCAGGCACTTTCCCATGAGGTCACCCATCCTGATAGTGCTCTGGCCTAGGCTCACTTAACTTTGGAGCTCCAAAGCAAAAGCTTGCCATTACGTCAAAAGGCGCCTCCGTGAGTTAATTCCATTTTTCACATATATATATCTGGATCGCTTTCCCCCTGCTCAGTGCACAGTTTAGTTCATTCCTGCCCCTTTCGCCATCCTAGAAGCATGTCAAGAGCCGTTCCTTATCCAAGCACTCTGGCCCCGGCGACCACTCCCCACCCTCGTCGGACCGGGTCGTTATAGTAGTTAATGAACAGGTGTCGTAAAAGCAAACGGCGAAGATGAGATCGACGACGGTTATTAAATATAATCTGACTGATGGCATAAAAGAACAGTTATCATGCTCACAGTATAAATACCATTCAATAGCCAGGAAAAGCTTCCCGAACACAACCAAAATGCTGTCTTTTTATCTTTAAATTCATGCATTGTACTTTCAGTTTCCTTAGTTGTAGTCATCTATGTTTTAAATCTAGTAGCAGCGTAGTGTGGTATCGATAAAGTTAGAATGTAATGCTGCCAGTCAGCGGCTTCTAGAATGGTGACAAAGCTTGAATTTCTTATCGAGCGAATCTTGTCCCTACTCGAGTTCATGTTGTTTGATTAAAACAAACAAGTTCATTGTTCTTGCCTGGATATCTCCTGTCTGGAGTCACTATAAAACCCGGTCTCCTCTTATTAAAAATCGAAGAACGACTTTCAGTGAATTATATTTCATCGCGGGAGCAATTCCGGCGAAACACATATAATGGAAAAAGTCCAGGAAAAATTGTCTCGTGTGATAAACAGTCACACGAGAATTTTCTATCAATATTCAACGAATGTATCTTTAAATCGTGGACGGATGAACAGTTTGATACGAGATGGTGAAATATGGTGACATGATTTCAACTCTTAAGAAGATGGATGGGTTCGGATGCTGTATGCGGAACGGAAGAAGTGGATTCCTACTTTTTTGGGGGAGAGTTTTCTTGCTGGAATGTCTACAGCTCAACGTGTGGATAGCATGAATTCCTTCTTTGACAAATATATTCACAGGAAAATAACTGTTAAGGAATTCTTGAGACACTAGAGTATTATTATTCGCCAGAATAGGGATGAAGAGGAGGCGATAGCTGATTTTGATACGTGGCACAAACAGCCCGCTCTCAAATCACCTTCGCCATGGGAAAAGCAACTGTCAACAGCCTATACTCATGCAATATTCGGGAAATGTCAAGTAGAAGTTTTTATGCGGAGTTGCAAACAGTGCACGCTAAAAGAAGTTTCCAATTTCATCCGTTCGTCTCGTGATTAAGAGAGAACGAGAAGGTAATAGCAATTTCAATGTTGATATTACTAACCCAATGATTGTGCGATGCCAGTAGCTAACGAAATTAACCCCCCATCTTTCTAAATGCCAATACGCAATCAATCAAATCACAGTCATGGAAATTGACCGTAGCGATCAAATGTCCCTCAGCTCAAGAATGACAAACACGAGAGGTAGCGCAGGTCAAGGTCACATGCAGCAGCCACATAAAGCAGAACTTATTTCTCGAGCACTGAGGAAGAGGGTTCGAGCCAATCACATCTTGAGATATACGAACATAATAACCAGCCCAAGCGAAAAAGGCAATTTGGCCCAGGAAAGAGGAGCACAAAGGGAATAACATCAACTAAGCCACTCATAAATACTCTCTCACGCTTGAGGACCTAAATAATTACAGAAGGCAGACATCGAGGAGGCCGGCGACCGGAGGAAGAAGAAGATGAAAAGAAAAAAAACAAAGAAAAGAAAAGAAAAAAGGAAAAATAAATTATAAAAAATTCGAAAGTTTAATAAAATATTATTAAAAATTATTCACGTCAGCACCGGCAAGCCACGTCGGCAATTTCCAGCCAAAATTGGCTAGATGGACTCAATTGGCAAAAGGTAAAAATGATTGTGACTCAATTAGCAAAATTGTAAAGTTTAAGACTGAATTGGCAAATGTGCAATAGATTTGAGACTTTTTGGACAATTTTCCCTCTTAAATCCATAGATAACTATGCAACCCTATGCGAAATATACGGTCAAAGAATACGATCACATTAGATAGAACCCTTTGAAGAATGGGAGATATGTTGAGAGAACAATAACAATCCGAACAATATTGGATTATCGCAGCGGAACAAAATAATCTCCCATCTTGTACAAACCTAATAGGAAATAATTGAATCGAGGAATATAAATAACAAGCACGCAAACACAAGGCAATTTTTTTACATGGAAAACCTCCTCGGCGTGAGGGGATTAAAAATCACGGGACCGGAGTCTACCCCAAAATCTTCACTATCAGCAAAACTGGGTGAACAAAGTTCTTCTCTAGCAAATACTAGAGGTACATAGCAGCGAAAACATCAAGAACATCATTCTTGGCAATAGACATGAACTTCACAAGAGATAAAAGATAAATCTCACAAAAAACGCACTTTTGGTACAACCCACAAAAACTCGATGTAGGAAGCTTCAAGTGAAAATCAAATTGATTAGATTTGAGAAGAATGCAGCATGAACACGCTAACACTACAAAAAAACATGAATTTTGCGACGGAAATTTTTCGTCGCTAATTTGCGACAAACTTTGCGACGGATTTCTAATTCCGTCGCAAATTAGCGACCAAAAATTTCCGTCGCTAATTTGCGACGGAAATAAATCCGTCGCAAAATTCGTCGCAAATTTGCGACGGAAAATTTTCGTCGCTAATTCCGTCGCAAATTAGTGACGACTAATTTTCCGTCGCAAATTGGCGACGAATTTTGCGACGGATTTATTTTCCGTCGCTAATTTGTGCAACGAAATTTACCATTTTTGCGACGAAAGTAGAGACGAATTGGATGATTGTCACAAGTTCAAATTCAAAAGAGATTGGACGATTTGCTACACGTCCAATTCTAAAAGAGATTAGATATTACAAATTCAAATTAGATAAGAAGATCTATTATAAACTCAAGATATTAGATAATCTCTTAAAATGTTCTCGTCCCAAATAAGCTTTTTTAGATTCGATAGGTGCAAATCTTATCTTCTTTTTTTTCAAGACTTAGATATAGATAACACAGATATCTATTTAGTTGAATATGGCGGTTTCCTCCGCATGTAACTCTTATGTATGCGTAAATATATGGGTAAATAAATTATAGCAATTTTCAAATAGATCGGAATCGGGTGGATGTATGAAATGTAAAGTCAATGTATCTATATGGGGATATGTATAGGAGACCATATAAAAGAGATATTCTTATTTAGACCTAACCAATTTGATCTAACCAATTAGATGAATTATTCCTAAAGGGTTACATCTGAATGATGAGTGAATAGAGGGCATGCATTCTATTAGAGAAATATTTAGAAGATTCCCTATATTTCCTTTAATTGATTGTAATTGATACTTTCCCTTTTAGATAGTCATCCTATAAAACCGATAAATAGGTTCATGTACTCTTCATTTGACAATGATATATATATTGCTCTAAATTTTTTTTTATCACATTCTTGACTTGGTATCAGAGCTCTATTGTTATTTGAGAAAGCGCTAATCGAGTCTGTTTGTAACAACGACATCCACATCAGTCATGTTTCTCCACAGTGTTCGTAATGCTAGTCACATCGGCCCATTTCGCAACAACCTCCCGTAGTTGTTTGACATTCCTCTGCTGCTCTAATGCAAAAAAAAAAAACATCACCAGACTTGCCGGCCTTAGACGAATTAGATCATGACATTTACTAATTCGTCAAATATGAGTAATGTGTCATTGTAAGAAGCATATCTACTCAAGGTTCCGACGGAATTAGCGACGGATTCAAAAAATTGGTCGGTATAAACATTTCCGTCGCTAATTCCGTTGCAAATTAGCGACGGATTTGAAAAAATGGGCGCCATGTGCCGCGAAGATCACTTCCGTCGCAAGGATTTGGAAAATGCCCTTTATTTTTGGAATCCGTCGCAAAATCAGTCGCAAATTTGCGACAGAAAAATAAGTCCGTCGCAAATTTGCAACGGAAAAAATAAATCCGTCAAAAATTAGTCCGTCGCAAATTTGCGACGGAAAAATTAATCCTTCGCAAATTTGCGACGGAAACAAAATCCGTTGCAAAAATTTGGGTCGGAAAAAAAAGCCTTCACAAAAATTTGCGACGGAAAAAAAAATCCGTCGCAAATTTACGACGGAAACAAAATCCATCGCAAATTTGCGACGGAAACAAAATCAGTCGCAAATTTTTGCGACGGAAAAAAAAATCCGTCGCAAATTTGCGACGAAAACAAAATCCATCGCAAAAATTTGCGACGGAAACAAAATCCGTCGCAAAAATTTGCGTCGGAGAAAAAAGCCGTCGCAAAAATTTGCGACGGAAACAAAATCCGTCGCAAATTTGCGATGAAAGCAAAATCAGTTGCAAATTTTTGCGACAAAAAAAAAAAATCCGTCGCAAATTTGCGACGGAAACAAAATCCATCGCAAAAATTTGCGACGAACATAAGGTTGGTCGCAAATTAGCGACGAACTTAAAAGGTTCGTCGCTAAAATTTGCGACGAAATATAAAGTTCGTCACAAATTTAATTAAAAAAAGAGCGCCCCAAAGCCCCGCCCTCACCCCCAATTTCTCTCTCTCTCTCTCGCTCACTGTTCTCGATCATATGAGATATATGCTTCCGCTTCTCCTTCTCCTTCTCGCTTCTGCTTCTTCCCTCTCCCCCACACCCCCAAACCTCTCGCGCTCGCTAAGGGTTTTCGGTACCCCCTTCCCCCACCCGCGCTTCCTCCTGCGACTCCTCCTTGCCCATGGCCTCCGGAGCCCTAGAGGTCGCGGAGGCCGAAGGGGCGGCAGCTCCTCCCCCGTCGAGGGCAAGGAGGAGCTCCCCGAGAAATCAGAGGTGGAGGAGGCAAATCAAGAGGACCGAGAGATCGCCGCTCCGGAGGAGGAGGAGGCCTCGGCTTCCAACGAGGAGGCCTCGGCCGAAGATGACGACTGGGACGACGCCCCGAAAGAGAAGGAGAGCGAGGAGAATCCGAAAGGAGGGAGCTCCGTGGAGAAACAGGGCGTGCCCAAGAGGAGGAGGAAATCGAGCGCGGGGAAGAAAGATCCGGTGACGCCCGGAATCGAGCGGCCCACCAGAGAAAGGACATCGGTGGAGTGGTATTCCGCTCCTGCCCTCGTCAGGACGCCCTCCAGCAAGGGCTTCTCCATCGAAAAGGTACTGGCACGCTTGGACTCTCTTTTTTAATCTTTTTTTCCAAGGATTAATGGCTTGCTGGTATTTCAGGGTCGTGGTATACAGCTTAAGGACATTCCCAATGGTATGTTTCCAGCTTTAATTGTTTCCTCATGGTTTACAGTGGGTTGATGACCATAGCCTATTGCATTCGTGTATGATTGGTTTCTTATGTCTTTTTTTTTTGCTAGACTATAATTGGTTATAGGTTTCCAGTTGGATCCAATTGTTAACAAGGCTGCTTTATACTTGTGATGTGTTCTTATAAAATCAGAGTTTTGAGGCTTTAAATCAGCGTGCGGTTGCAGTAGTTGTGGATCCCATTTAGAGTGTCAAAGGGAAGGTGGTGATTGATGCCTTCCGTTTGATCAACCCACAAACCATGATGCTTGGCCAAGAACCCAGGCAGACAACCTCCAACCTTGGACATCTCAACAAACCGTTCATCCAAGTGAGTGCTGACCAGATAATGCGCTCTTTGAATATTGAGTTTTGATCTTATCTCCTGGGGTTGACTTCATATTTTTAGGCATTGATCCATGGGCTGAACAGACACTATTACTCAATTGCCATCAATTACAGAAAGAATGAACTGGAGGAAAAAATGCTACTTAATCTTCACAAGAAGAAATGGACAGATGGCTTGACGCTTCGCCGTTTTGACACACATTCTCAAACCAATGAACAGACTGTTCAGGTAAATCAAGGTCTTAATCTGTCGCATCTAGATTAGAGAATTAGTTGCACCAGTCACTTAGAGGTGGATTCTGGACAACGCAAGACAAGGCCCTCTGCTCAAGCATATTTTCATCTAGTGTCCATGTTTTCCTAATTAATTAAGATCAATTAGCTTGCGATGCATATAGACTTTCATTGAACTGGATGTTGAGAAGCTGTCGTTTCTTGCAAAACGAATGATTGTTTTCAAATTCAGATCCTTGTTTTAGTTGGATTTTTATTTTGGGTGTCCAAGGCTCGGAGGAGAAAAATTTAGGTTTTATCATCCAAAAGCTAAGGACATGTGCTTTATGCTTTAGGTGTAGTGTTGTTCATTCTTTGGTATATTCTCTTCCAAAAACTATTCATGAAAGTGCACTGCAAAGATCCTTTTTTAAAAGGATTGGCAAAAGACCTATTCAATGAAAAGCGACAGGGCAAAAATTTATAGGTGACAATCTAAAGTCAAAGCTTTACACGATTCTTGGTGCGTACTTTGGACAGGTATGATAGATAAATTACAACGCATCCACCGCAACTATCGTGTACGAAGCAAAAAAGTCCTTATGGCCATTATGCATTCTACTTGGCCTCATTATGGCCTCATTATGGGGACTTCACCTGCAACCATTGACATGAAGCTACTTAAGTTGACATGGAGAAGGTTAGAAGGTTTGGCTGCTAGACTTGGTGGAGCCAAGAACATATTCTGTGAACTTTTTTCTGATAACAAGGTTGAGAACACCTTTTGGTTGGATAGTTCGTCAATTGAGAAGGTCTATCTTGAAGAGGAAGAATGTACCTTTAAGTTTGGTTCTTTATTTATGTCATTCTTGTGAAAAATGTAGATGAATGTATTTCATTTTCATATTATTATAATATTTTGATGTTATTAAGTGCTTAATCAATGTTAAATATAAGTTCCAAAAATTAAGTTTGCTTTTAATTAGGTTTAAAATTGAAAAATAAAATAAATGATTTTATCGTACGATCACAAATTACAAAAGTTCGTTGTAAAAATAAAATTTCGTCGCTAATTTTGTCCCTAAACGATATTCGTCGCAGAGTTCGTCACAAAAGAATTAATAAAAAATCGTCGCTAAATTCGTTCATGAATAATGTTAATGGCAAAAGTTAAAAAATTTGGTGGCAAATTAGCGCCGAATTTTGCCACGAATAAGTTCACCGCAAATTACTGACCAAATTTTTTTTTTTTGGCAAATTAGCGATGAATTTTGCGATGAATATAGTTCGCGGCAAATTAGCGATGAATTTTGCGACGAAATGTGCGACTAAATTTGTGACGAAATTTGCGTCGATATTTGCGACGAATTTTGCAACTACATTTGCGACGAATAAAGTTCGTGGCTAATTTGCGACGAATTATTTGCGATGAATTATTTGCGACGAAATTTGCGACGAATAAAGTTCGTGGCTAATTTGCGACGAATTTTGCGACGGATAGTGTTCGTGGCTAATTTGCGACGAATTTTTTTCTGTCGCAAAATTCTTCGCAAATTCGATTTGCGACGGATTTTTCCAAATTTTTCGTCGCAAAAATCATGTTTTTTTGTAGTGTAACCAAATTTCAACTCAATCAGACCATGAATTGACTTCCGACGTCAGCTTGATGAAAATCAGATATTGCCATATTCACAGGCTTTCTGCTCTCTCTCTTTTGTTACTATGTCTCTGAAACATTTTTTTTTTGCGGCTACGACATAATAATAGTGAGAAACCGTATTTCTCGATATAAATAGACATGTGGGCTCAAGTCTTGGGCTTGCAATTCGTTGGGCTTCCTTCACATGGGAGTGAATCCGGCCAACAAATCTCCCCCTCACTCACGACGATGTGGAGGGATTCACCATTCCTACTATAAATCGACAATGTTCAAGCTTCTTCCTTGATAGAGTCTTCATCATCATATCGGAACCATTATAGTCCGTATGGATTTTCTCAAGTTCCAACAACTTCCCATATAGAACATCCCCTATCCAATTATATATAACATCAATGTGTTTCGATTTCGAATGAAAAGATGAATTCTTACCAAGATGAATCGCACTTTGATTGTCACAAAATAACGCATACCTCTTTTGCTTGAACCCAAGTTCTACCAAGAACTTATTCCGCCATAGCAACTATTTACTAGCTTCTGTTGCCGCAGTAAATTCAGCTTCGATTGTAAAAAGAGCAACACACTTTTGTAACATTGGCTACCATGACATAACCCCACCGCCAAAGGAAATCAAATAACCAGAAGTAGATTTATGAGTATCAATATCTCTAGTTAAGTCGGAATTTGTGTATCCAACTAATTCAAGTTTCCCGTTCTTGAAACTGAGTTTCAAACTAGAAGGTCCCCGAAGACACCTCATGATCCATTTCACTGCCCCAGTCTTTCTTTATAATTCACCGGTTGTTCAAAATTGTGTGTGGGCAGAATGTTCCTCGTGGGTTCATAACGCAGCACATTCAGGAAATCAAGGAAATCGTGACTCTCAGGCATTCAAATAGAACATGGCCTGTGAAGCTTAGGAGCTATCCAAGTGGGTTGATGCTGTTCTCTTCTGGTTGGATTGCATTTGTGAGAGGAACTGGTTTGCGTGCAGGAAGTGTCTGTGTGTTTGAGCTAATTGATAGAGATGATATTGTGTTCAGAGTCTACATTTTCAGCAGGGCAGGTAGAATCTTGATTTACGTTATTTGAAGTGAAACTTTAGGCTGGTCATGGCATGACATGACTTCTATGCTAAAGATCTTCATAGTCAATCTAAGAAACATTCACAGCAATAATGTCTCTTAAAGTTCTCATTTTAATTCCAGGCAGGAACAAACAGTCTAAATGCAGAATGAACCATCCGGAGCCAGTATTTTGTGATCCTACTCCTTCGAGGCCTCTCACTACTCCTAAATTAGCCAGCAAATTTGATTCGGAGCATCCCTTCTTCAAACTGGTGATACATCAGAGTCATTTTAAAAAATTGGTACAATCTTGAGCCTAATCCATCAATGCCATATCTCAAGTTCGCTTATGATCTCTATCTAATCTTGCCTCAATATTGTGTTATCCTTGGTTGATTTGGTTTGTATTGGGAGCCATATGACATGCTATATTTCTTGGAGTGATTGTGGGGCATCCCAATGGTGGAGTAATGCGGAATCAGGAAAAAGAAGAAGAAAAAACAGCAGTAAAGGCTGTGATTAGGTTGGGACTATCCATTCACTTGGATATCCTTGACAAGCTGCTCCATCACTATCTGAGTGAAAGGATGGACAGTCACTTGAATTGAGTACTAACCTAAAATGGCAATTAATGGCAGTAATTTGTTTGAAAATGCTTTACAATGCGGGTTGAGATCGATGGCTTTCATGAGCCTCTTAAGACTGTTGACTAAAGCTGGCCTTGTATGCTTTCTTTCCAAGAGCGCATGCTTACATTTTTGTCCTTCTCTCGGCATACAATGGTTGTTCAAATGTCTACTCATGTGCAGCATGTTCCCGGTCAATTCGCCGAGCAACATATTCAAAAAAACAAGAGAAAGGGAACTCTTAGGTATTCAGACAGATCGTGGCCGGTGAATCTCTCAAGATATACGCAGGGAACCCAAGTGCTCTTTTCTGCTGGTTGGCGTGCATTTGCAAGAGAATCTCATTTGTGTGTAGGAAACGCCTGCGTGTTTGAGCTCATTGATAGGGATGATGTTGTGTTCAAAGTCTCCATCTTCAGTTGTGGTGGTAAGGATCAGATTCACATTGATTGAGGTGTTCATCGGACGTGTTAGTCTAGACTGTTCGAGGTGTCGATATGAATTCAAGATCCTAATTACGCCTCCTTTATTCAGCTGTGGCGAATCGATGCAAAGGAGACTCTTTTCTGTTCTTGTTTTCTTGTTTCTTGGTGCTAGTTTTGGTTCTATATTTCCATTTTGGCAAGAATCCCTCAGATTCGGCGCTTCTTTAAGGTTGCTCAACTGCCCTAAAGGGTTTAATATGTATTTTCTTAACATCCTAGCATTTTGTGTATAACCAAACCTTTTGCAAGAAGTGAAAATACAAAGAAAGCAGTCCATGCGTTTACTTTTTATGGCTAAATGAAAAAAAATATTTGTGAGAAAGTTGTATGGCTAAGTGCTTGATCGTACTTGGCAGATTTCTGATCGAATTATGTCTCCAACTCAAAGTTTTTTTGAATTGGAGGCCACGCCCACGCCCACGGCCCACCACTCTATCAAAGCCTCATTTGATCCATGTGAATGTACCGATTTTTGTGCACTATGCTGAGAATTTAAGGATTGATTTTAATTGTTGTCGATACCTGAATTTTTCCGATGGTTAAAGTTAGAAAATTCAAGGTTTGAGATTCTGATCGGGGCGAGACTCATTGTAGTTGAGCTTCTCCATCGAAATGCTAGTCAACTATTTGTGAAAATGCTCCAACGAAGTTGTGAAATATCTTTTGAGGAAAAGCTGCTTCAATCTGTAGATGCAGATGCATCTACAAACGTTCAAACCACAATAGCATCCTTCAATTCATTTATACTACTCTTATTTCGTGAAATTTGAATCTAAGACCCAGAGTAATTCTTGCGTTAGTTTTGTTTTGTGCATTGTTCTCATAGTGAAATACTGGCGAGGAAATGAACCGGAGACTCTTGATGGACGCTGATTTCTTACGATGACTGACGTTACTGGGTATGTTCCATTTTGTATGCTGTGCATCATTGCGGAGTCATAATCGAGGATGGGCGGTGGCCGACAACGGAGGTCCGATGACGACTGTAGGGTGACTGAGGGTGAAGTATATAATGTTCATAATTTGATGCTTTGGTAGATTTGATCTTTAGTGGTAGCTCTAGAGTTCATGATGTTGATGATCAAAGTATGGTGCATTGAAGAACTCATGGAGTTACTGGGAAAAATGAAAAAAGCAAACAAAAAGAAGAGAATAATAGAAAGGGCTAATCTGATGAGCTCAATCCATTAGCACCTAAGGATCATGAGGCCAGGTTTAGTCAACATTAGATCGGGCCCAAGAATTCGGGCCATGCTCTATTTTAGAGAAAAAAGAAAGGAATTTGCAAGTAATAAATAAAAATTATTATATCAGATAACAAAAAATAGGAGAGAGAATTAGACTTGCAGTATAGATCGCAGGCGTAAAAGGAAAAATATAAATTAAAAAAATAACAAAAATGGTTAGAATTAGAGACCTTGATTAGGTTGCTAAGTTTTAGCATTAGATTTAAATTAGCTTCATTTTAGTTAGTGCATATAGTTTAGACGTTTTAGTGAACACCTTCGATATAGCTTAGTTTTAGTAGATTGATCTTAAAGGTAAGAAATTGGACTCAATTTGAACTTGGCTCGTGGGGTTGCTGTCTTGGGGCTTAAAACAAGGTCATGTTATATTTTTGACCCACTTGTATTAGATTAATTTAGTTCACACTATCTTTTAATTGCTCTTTTAGTACTATTTTTGATAAATTAGTTGTGATTCTTTTATATCGCTTTTGTGTCGTAATTTGCTTGTTTAAGTTAACTGGCTAGGTTACCTTTTTAGAATCATAATAAACACCAAAAACATTGCATGATGCTTAGCAGATGAGAATTTTAGGTTCATAATTTGGTAAAAAGATTGTATGGACACTTAAATTGATAAATAAACAAGTTTAGACATCAAAAGGGCATTAATTGAAAACTAGTATTATCAAGTCCTCGATCCTAGATCACTGGTTGCGTAAGAAGTGAGGTAATTTCCTGCACTTCACTTGTTTTCTAACCAACCTCAATTGGTTAGTGGTGACTCTTGCACATAAAATCCTTTTTGTTTAAACAGAACTAAAATAAAAATCCCAACGTTGCACGAGGTAAGGGCTTGAAAAAACCCAGTCGATTGAAGACTACCGGTCCCAATTCGAAACGTTTGAGGTTTTTAGTGTCACAAAATAAGTTCGGTATAATATGTCACCGTCAGTATAGTTTGAGATTTTTCATGACTTTTACTATTTATATAATACAATGTCGGGCTTTTCTGCAATGCCGTGCTCCTTTGGGCGGCAAAGTTATAGTGCATGATCTCAACCGTCGGATGAAAGAAAATTAATGTCAACCGTCGGATGACAAAACATCTCGGGCATGGGTTCAACATAAATTGATGCCAACTGTTGGATTTGGCATGACAATTTTCTCCTTCCAAATCCTACGGTCTCATAGGTCACGCCAAAAGTAATAAGCTGTGCTACATCATCACTTCACTAATCATAGGGCAAACTTTTTTTTTTGTTTTTTTGTTTTTTGGATTCTCTAGTTTTGCTCTTGTCAAATGAAGCAACTATCACTAAAAGTCAGCCACACTTATACTGAAGCACACTGTATGTGGAAACTGATTCTTCATCCATGTCACAGAATTTACAATTTCTTAGTTTACTTCCTTTTTCTTTGCACTTTCGGCTTGACCACGATGAGTCATTGTCATGGACTTGTAACTTTGATTTTTTTCATAACAGGGTTTAGGGTTTATGGTAGTTTCTTGAGAAAATGTGGAAATGATCTCTCAAACTTGGTGCTTCTCAAGGTTCCGGGTGGTTCAACCTGGACTATAGAACTAGAAAAGATAAACAATGACATGGTTTCAGCATGAAAAGGGCGGTGCGGATTCACGGTGCCTTACTCCATTGATCATGTTTACCTAGTGGTTGTCAAATATAAAGAGAACTCCTCTTGTTGAGTAATAATATTCCATAAGAGTGCTCCAGAGATACATTATTTGTTGAGCAGCGACAAAAGGAGCGAATTTCTCTCAACAAAAATGGAAGATGTCGTCGAAGCAGAATATTTTGAAGGGTTTCACACCCCATGACATCTTCAAATTTCAACCTTATTTTGAATATAATAAAGGGTTATTTCGTCAATGCGCAATGAGTAGAATTATGCTCTAAATTGATTCCAGAATCATTCAAGAGTATTCCAAGCTTTGGGAAAGACAATTTAGGACTTCGATGGCGTGATCAAAGAACTCAATCATGGATTGACAATTCAGCCATAAGGATTGATGAGGGATAATCATAAGCCATTTCAAGTCGATCTAGGAACGGTTATAGCTCGATTCGGCAATAGTATAGAATCGGTTTGCGTGTGGTTCCGCGCGATTACTGTATTAGTTCCGAACGACACTAGACCAATCCCTAATGATTGTATATTTCAAAATAGGCTATTGACCCTCTCGATTACATGACAATCGAAGGTCATCAATGAATTGGAAATGGCTTAAACGTGGATTGATTTAAAGACAACTACGGGTTAAACGCACGAAACACCTAAAAGCCGCCCATTGTTCTAATTATGTGAAAGACGCATTTGAGAGACTTTAACCACGAATTCTAATCCAGTTAAGGATATCGGACTATAAAGGATTAAGAGACGACTATTGGATAATCTCAGGGGATCGCCCATTAATCGGTAAACCGCAAAATATTGGAAAAGTGAAATTTGGGCTGGAAATTGGGGCTCACGAATTTTTAAAGGCTCAATGGGCCTCATGGACTCAATAGTCGGCCACAAGGGCCCAAGTTATGGAAAATTACGGTTTTGCCTTTTTGGGCCCAAATTGAGTAATTTTGAAAAAATTTGTGCAAGAAAAACCAGAGACGAGAAGCCCGCAAGGAACTAAGCCCAATCATGGGGCCCAAGGAGGAGTTCGGCCAAAGAAAAGAGGAGAAATGGGCTTGGCCCAAGTTTAGGCCCATTTTAAAGCCTTTTAGGACTTGAATAGTGTCTTCGAGTGAAAATACCTTTCTGACCCCAAGCCTTTTTGAATTCCTTTGGTTTGTTGAAGGGCAAAATGGTCTTTCTACTCCTCAAAAGTTGGCCGGCCACATGGGAGGGTAAAATGATCAAATACCCCTCTCATCTTGTCTTTATTCCATTCTTACCCTTGAATATTTGTGAAACTTAAATTGCAAGAACGAATCCTAGCCATTGATTCAAGCTTGTTGAGCAAGGGATGATCTTGGCCATCCATCCTCGGGTATCTTGCAAGACAACTTTCTCTCTTCTCCTCATTTCTCACTTTCGATTTTTTTCTCTCTCTCTCCCTCTCACTCATCATCACCGGCCACCACCGCACGCCCTCACCGCCGACCTCTTGCCCTGCCGTGAGCCGAGCAATCCACCGCCGTCGCCGTGCGTCCGCCCAATCCAAGCCACCCCTTCCCTTGTTTCCCTTTGGTTTAAGAGTAAGTTTACTCTCTAAACCTTGATTAGGGCATTAGGTTTGCTAATGGTCTAGTTCAGAGCTAATTAGGTGGTTTAGTGGATAAGTTATCTTAAGATTAGTTGATAGCTTATCTTATTCCATTGATAGCTTGTCTTGGTAATTGATAATTTATGTCACGCTTTAGGTGATAGCCTATCTAGTGTAGTTGATAACTTATCTAGACTTATGTGATAACTTATCAAGAAAATGGTGAGAGCTTATCAAGAAAATAGTTATAGCTTTTCTTGAAACAAGTAGATAACTTATCACATTGAGTAGACTACTTATCATGAGTTAATTGATAACTTGTCTTGATTAATGATCATCGGTGTGTGTTATAAGGTTTAAATTGCCATGAGAAAAAGGATGAGTTTACGTTGAAAAATGGCTTGATTAATGGAAATCTTTGGTATGCTTAAGTTTAATTGGAAATTGAATGGATAATGTTTTTGGTGTTGATATATGAGTGCGTTTTCATGGTAGCTTTATGCGTAAAGAATTGCACGTCATAAATAGTTGACATTGGCTCAATTCCAAAGATAAGAAATGGGATTTGAGTGATTGTTGTGTGTGCATGATCACCTAAAATTTTCATTTGTGCCTGGTTATACCAGAAGACCACCAAC